ATTAGAATGCCAAAAAGGTCTAATCAAAATATTTCACTAAAAGAACTTCAGAGGGAAATTCACAGAATTTCTCCCCTTGACTTTTTGCAGTAAGAAATGTAAGTTAAAAGTGATAAAAAATGCAAAATGCCTAACTAAAAAGATGTGAGTGACAAATTTGCATATTCCAATATGAAAACCTGGTAGAGTTTAACTATGGTGTGTGAAAAACTGTGTTTAATGTCACAGCTGGGGGTTTGGCTTAGTGTTAGAGCATATGTTTAACATGCTTGAAGCTGTGGGTAAGTGAATGTATGAATTAATAAACAAAATCATCAAGTAAAACAAGGGCAGTGAAACATTCCTAGCTCAAGAATGATGTATCACTTTCTGTGTGGAAAAACAATGGACAATTTCACAAAAAATAACAATAACCTATAAACATTTTCACATTGGGATTTTCATGAGGACAAAAATATTGGTTGCAAAAGTTATTCTACTTTGTTAGTGCCAGCTACTTGGGAGTTTGAGGCAGGAGAATCACTTGACCCAGGAGTTTAAGGCCAGCCTGGGCAACATAACAAGGCTCTGTTTGTAAAAAATCAAATGAAATAAAATAAAGGCTGAGGGTGTAGCTTAGTGGTAGAGCACATTGTGATTAGCCTGCCCAAGGCCCTGCATTCAATTCCCTGTACCAAAACAAACCAAAAAACAAAAACAAAAGAAAGAAAAAGTTATTTTATTTTATTTTAAGGCCTTTATATACTGCACTTATATATTTATGCAGAGCACCTAGTGGTTCAGAGTTAATTTTTTTTAATTGTTGATAGATCTTTACTTTATTTATTTATTTATTCATTCATTTATATGTGGTGCTGAGAATTGAACCCAGTGCCTCACACATACCAGGTAGGTGTTCTACCGTTGAGCAGCAGCCCCAGCCCCCAGAGTTAATTCTTATTACAAGAAAAGTAGAATATTTCTGTAGTCAAATAAGCATTGATGTTATTTCCAGTAAAGTGAGGAATCATAATTCTGTCCTTAAAGTGTTTGATAAGCAATATAAATTATGAATTTTAAAAGAGGCATTTAAATTTTAAATTTTATTCTAGTGGTTATTCCTATGGAAACTATATTTGGAACGCTAAGATTCTCCTGGTGAGCTAAATAGTCAATAATAATATTATGTTTCTTTCTCTTGATTTATCATATTTACCACTCTGAAGATGATCAGCCAGCAATAATGCATTTCCATAGAGTCCAGGGATTTTGTTGTTCTTTTATACCTTCTCCAAATCCAAAAGGCACATTTGCTAATGAAATGATATAATGCTAAATCCCACAGAAATGTATATTCTGTATTCTTGAATAACAAATTTTTAAACACAGACATTCATAATGGAGAGAGTTATTATGACAGAGTCACTTGGGACAATGAACTGATATTTTCTTCTGGATTGTTGCCTAGCTATCAGTTGGGAATTCCCTATAGCAAAGGGTCTCCAAGGGCTTAAATTGCTAAATAAAAATAAAATGGACTAGTGGTCTTAAGCATGTTTTTACTTTTTTATTGAAATAAATTTTAGTTAATAAGTTTAAGGTAGTGGTGTAAACTACCACCTACAAAACTTTAGAGTTTAACTCCTGGTATCAATAAGATGCAATAGAGAAAAATAATTTGTTTCCACTGCAAAATCAAAGAGCTACTAAAGGGAAATAAATACATATGAATTCATGTAATCCATATATTTAAAACATGCATAAAATGTTTATATGATACTTGTTTAGAAATGGAAACAGTCACATTTATTATCACCAGTACATAAATATTTACATAAGTACTATGATTTAACATCTATGTCTGAGAAAGATAGATGTGTTGGTATATTTGGCTCTTTTTAAAAGATATAGTAAATATTTTAAATGTATCACCATTATTAGGACTAGAATGAGAATCTTACCAATTAGGATATGTGAAATGAAGCTTGTCTTAAGATCAAGAACACATAAGATAGGGAAATAAAGAAATACTACAAAACGGATTGGATGAAGGTCAATTTATATTTGAACTTTTGTACTTTTAGTTATTTGATTATTAATCATGCTGTCTATATTGTCCATTTATACTCACTATCTTACACATGTTCCTGGTGTAACAGAAATGGTTAAAAAAGAATCCCCTATACCTGTTACACAGCCTATATAGTCAACATCTGGACTGATACATTAACTAATTTAGTTTCTTTAGAACATTTTCCTAATCTTATTTCCCATTTTGGGAAGACTTTAAAAATTGGCTCCTATATTTTTGGATAAAAGTACTGTATTTATTGCTGAACAAATACAAAGTAATACATCTTAAAACATTATCTTAATTTTCATGCAGATAGCTAGGTTAACTATTGCTTTAAATGTTAGATATGGTGTTATAGAATATTGGGGTACAGGGATGTTAGAAGTAATCAAAATTTTAAGCTTTTCTTTTAAAATCTTCACCTAATATTTTAGCGAAGAGCTATCAATTCAACATTAAACTATAGGCTTCATAAAGGCAAAGACCAAGACTGTTTCATTTACAACTACATGTCAAGAACATTGCATAGTGACATGAAAACTGTTCTTAAATGAGTGAATAAAGATATTAAATGAGATTCCTTATATGTTTCTGGCACTGGGAAATTAAAAGATGCACACTATGATCCTTACTTTTAGGATTCTTACTTTATTTTTTTTTTAAATATTTTTAGTTATAGTTGGACACAATGCCTTTATTTAATTTATTTATTTTTATGTAGTGCTGAGGATTGAACCCAGACCTTCATATGTGTGAGGCAAGTACTCCACCACTCAGCTATAACCTTAGCCCTAGAGATCTTTCTTTCTTTGGGAGAAAATATATAAAGATGCTATAATATATGCAAAATGTAAGTATGACAATTTAAGCATGTTTCGTGATCCACAAAAGCACCAAATTAAGAGCAGTTTCTTCTGGTTGGTGGAAATTGGTGGGGGTAGACATCTAGGAAAGACTAGAAATACAGGTGACATCTATAATGCACCCTGAGATCTGAGTAAGAGTTCACTAGGCAGATGAGGTGGGGTCGCCCAGACAGAGCAAAAACATTTGCAAAGGAGCAGTTATGAAAAAAGACAACATATGATGGTGGTGTGGTCAGAGTACATTGAATGGCTTGGAGGACAGGAGGTACGATTGGGAAGTGAAACCAAAGCCAGGAAGAAAAGGGACACCTATGCTCTTCATGGACTTCATTCTCTAGACAGGCTTTCTCACGAAAAGGAGTTTGGATTGAAGTTAAAAAAGACTGGATAATTTAGAAATGCCAGTAAAGAAACTGTTCACTTACTTGCCAGTTATTAAAAATGCAATGTTTCTGATATGACAGTTGCACAGAGAAATGAGATTTAAATATGCATTCTACTATTATCATGTAAGTAAAAAGATACTGAGGATTAGAGCAGGACATTTGATGAAAAAAAAGAGGAAGTATAAGAGATACTTTGAGGTACAACAAGAAATCACATGCAGGCAGTGAAAATGTAGAAAAGTTTAAGGATGAACCTAGAGGTTTTACACTGGGAAATTTGCTGGATTATGATTCATTAGCCAAAATAGAAAACACAGAAAAAAGACCAGGTAAAAGGGAATAGTAATTGGGGAGTGGAAAAACAGCAGAATAAATGAATTTGGTTTTAGAATAGGTAAATTTGTGATGCTAATGTAATATGGGTTAGGAGATCAGAAGAAAGATCCTGACTAGATTGATAGATTTGTCACCATCCATTCCATTCAAATTGCAAACATTTCAACAAACAAACAAAAACACCCACAAAACCCAAAAACCCATTGGTCTAAAGTTAGAAACTTGGGCACATCAATAATTAAAGGTGAATGGAAGTTACAAATCTAGGAAAATAAAGGAAGGAGAAGATTGTGGATTGAGTAGTGCCACGAAAGCCAAGAAAGAAAAGAACTTCCAAGGAGGGCACGGTGGCACACTCCTGTATTCCCAGCAGTTTGGGAGGCTGAGACAGGAGGATCGCAAGGTCAAAGCCAGCCTCAGCATTTTAGTGAGGCCCTAAAGTAAAGCAACTTAGTAAAACTCTGTCTCTAAATGAAATATATAAAGGGCAGGAGATATGGCTCAATGTTTAAGCACCCCCTAGGTTCAACCCCTGGCACAAAAAAAAAAAAAAAAAAAGAACTTCCATGCAGAGCCTACTGACACATATGCCAAATACATAAGAAATTTTGGAAATTTGACTTCTTTTGAATTTGATTCTAGAAGGACTTTGGCGGTTTGACATTAGATTAGTAAACAAAATGTGCTTCATGCTCCTGATTTCAAAATGATTCTTGTAAATATATGTTATTTCTTTACAAATACATTGACCATTTTTTTGCCAGGGGGAATTTACCTTTGGACAATACTATTCCAAATATCTAATTTTTTCCTCATATCCACAGTGGGCTGAGGCAACTAGAAATTGAATTATATACACTGCCTTCTAAGGGCAGGGTAGCATTGATGGTTTAATTTCATAGTATCATAAAGTACCCACTTCATATAACTTGGTTAGCAAAAAAGGCCAAAACCTGGACTCCTGGATCTTGACAGGTGTTAAATTTTCTCTATTCTGATACTAAATAACACAAAGAACACACTCCCACCCCCCCACCCCCACCCCCATATACCCGCGTATATCATACTATTTTAGTACGGTTACATTAATTTACTAATGGCAAAATCAAAATTACTGTTTGGCCCTGTAACTTCTTAATATTTCATTTTATATCACTGAAGATAGATGATTACATTGACATCTTTTCTTGGAGAAAACACCATGTGAAAGAAGACTCTGAATTGGTAAAAGAGGGACTCATTTCTATTGCTTAGGGGCCCTATTTTTAACTTTGTGGGATGAAAACACTGCACTCAAGTTTAGATTAGAACATTTTCTGGATCTTTCAAAGGGCTCTGGAGCAAAGTAGGAACTGGTACCTTGACTTTTTCGAGGTGATCTTGGAGAGAGTCAATGAGGAGATCGCCCACTGGCTGCCAGGATCCCTTGATCACCTCGGCCTGGCGCAGCTTGAGATCCAACTCATCGGTAGCTTCCTGAAGTTCCTGTAGTCTTTCAAGGGCCTCATCTATTTTCCTCTGCCAGTCAGCAGAGTGCAGGTTCAATTTTTCCCACTCAGTGTTGACCTCCTCAGCCTGCTTTCGTAGTAGCCGAGTGACATTCTGGGCTCTCTCTTCAGGAGGCAGCTCTAAATTGGCAATGCAACAAGGTTTTAGATCACATTTATTTTTTTTTAAACCAAACATTGTTGAAAAGGTCAGACTAGAAGAAAAAAAAAAGAGTACAGTTTAACAAGAGGCCAACCTACTGATTAATGACTATTTTACACTTTGGCATAGGTTTTGATATAGTTCAGAAACATCTAAAGTCTGTCTTCCTCAGTGAATCTGTTCTATCTTATATTAATCAGATAATCCAGATTCATTTAAGCTATTGAGGAAAAAAATGTTAGGATGCACACCACAAGCTCTAATTTTCTTCAGTCAGGCTCTTAAATTGAAAATTAGCTTGTAGTTTTTGAAACAATAGAATTCATTCTCACAGATAAACTCTTTTGTTTATTATTTTCTAAATGTTCCAATAATGGATCACTAATCTCTTTTAATGTTTATTTATGGATGTGCAAACAGATTTATGCATGGTGGTTTATGATTTCTTGTTCTTTTTCAACATCCATGTTTAATTTGAATTGATTCTGTTTAACCTGGAAAATATGAGAGCTATCCAGACCCTGGCAGCAAGAATGGATGGGCTGCTCTGTCACCACTGATCCTTCTATCAATATGTTATTACAGTTCCACATTCAATTACCTCTGGGCTCCTGGTAGAGTTTCTCTAGTCCTTCCAAAGGCTGCTCTGTCAGAAATATTCGTACAGTCTCAAGAGTGCTCATGATTACAGGTTCTTTAGTTTTCAATTCCCTCTTGAAGGCCTGTGAAATGAGATGAAAAGAAATGTTTATTTGGCTTGTGGCATTCTTCTCAAAATTAATCCTGGGTGCTCAGAACTTGTTTATGAAACTCCCAGGTCAATTTCTATCTTCTTTGTTTGTAAACTGATAGTCATAAATCAACAAAGAAGGTTATTGGGTCTTTCTGTTAATGAGGAAACCAATGTGTTTGTAAAACTATTCGAGGGAGAAGGAGGAGCTTTCAAGATACTTGATGCCCTCTCATTATGATAAGAGCACTTTGTTTACATAACCTGACTGTCAAACTTAAAATTTAGAGCTAAAGTTGCAAGGTATTTATTGCAAAAACCCAAACATGTCTAATGAGGATTTAAATACACCCAAAATAATGGACATTCAAAGTGTAACAGGAAGCTGGAACTATTTGGAGGTACCAAGGCTTTACTGAAGTATACAGTGAATCCAAATTGATAATCACCAGTTAATTCTGTCAAAATGTCTGACAGTGACTAAAACTGTATATTGAAAGTAAGCTAAGTAAAACTGTCAGTACTTTCAAAAAATACCCATTACATTATTCATTGTGACCTCTCTGAAAAGCAGAAGTGTTCTGAGCTGATGTAGTAATTGTGGGAAGAAGTTTCTATAAATCAATAGACTTAGGTGTCTTTAGGCCATGTAATCTAGCTATCAATTTTAATATCAAATTTATAATTTCCCTTGATACAGGGGATTAAGAGAAAAACCTGAACCCATAGTTTCTGCCTTCAGGTAATTACTAAAACAAAAAAGAAAACAATATGGCTGAAGGTGTAGCTCAGTGGCCTAGTATGCATAAGGCCCTACATTTCATGCCCAGCACTGACCTCCCCAACACAAACAAGCAAACCCCAAACAGCAACAACAACAAAACACAGAAACCTAACACACTAGAATCAGAGTAAAAAACTATAAGTTCATATATAATCTAGTACTAAGAGGATGGTGGGGCGTACTGCAAGACTAGACTAAATTAACAAATACTATGAAACCATTAAAGAAAGTTATTGACCAAGTTCTGTGATCTCAAAAGTGAAGGTGCTAATAAAATATTAAGTATTGCATAAATGGTAATATATTTATATAACAAAAACAGCAATAATAATTGCCCTGACCTAGGGCTTCAATATGCATGTCTTTTTTTTTTTCAAATCTGCTTTATTTTTAGCAATGTTTGCTACTGAATTTGAGCATGTTCTGTCAGTAGGGAAAAAAACTCACTACTATCCCCCTTTAAACTTCAGAATACTATTATGATACAGAAGTGCTCCAGACTGGATTGTATGAAATGTTTATCAATACAATCTTCATGTTACTCATCATTCAAAAGAATCCTGTCTTATACTTTGCAAAATGATTCGTCTTCCATAGTTATTTACAATTCAATTGAGAGAGGCAAGGTATTTGAACTAAAATAATGGAGTTGCACAAAATGGAATATTAGGATTCAGCCTGTGTATAGGGAAGTAATTTCTGTATTGTAGGATATTCTTGTGTCCTTGAAATCCTACTAGGTAGGTGGATTATTTACTCTGCTTGCATAGAAGGTTGATTCTATCTCTAATATTTCAATTGCAATCTGCATGTGTGTGTTTATGCTTCTGTATGTGTATGCACTTCTTGTAATCCTGTATTTTTTCCCACATTTAATTTTCCTAACTTCAAGAAAATTATCATTTTGCCTGGTTTCTTCATTTGGATTTGACAGGAGGCAACTGATACTGCTAATTATAAAATAATGGCTACCTTTGTTGAACTATTGTATATCAGTGATTGTATTAGAGAATGGAAATCCAAAGCTGAATGCAAAACAGTTCTTCTCATTTAAGAACTTAAAATATATAACGGAAGAGTCAAACATATGAATCACTTCAATATAATGTGGAAAGTGCTACTGGTATATACAACCTCAGAAAAGCATCCCAGAGAAGATAGTAATCATTCAGAATTCAAAAATATGGCCATGAGTTAGTCAGGGAAGAATGGGTTATAGGACATTCCAAGAAGAGGAAAGTGCTAGTACAGAGAGATAATAGACATAATATCTTTATAGCATGTACCAAGATCTTTAAGCATTCTCATGTTTCTAGAACATATAGAACAAGGAGAGAACATGCCCTGAGATGAAGCAAGTCACTCTCATTATTGGGCAGTATATTAGATCTTTTAGGTAAAATTTGAAGCTCAGCCTCTCTATGAAATATAGCCCATATATAGTTTGCTAAAAGCCTAGGTGTTATGGTATAGGTAATTAGCATCCCTTGAAAGGATTTAAGAGCTGCATGGAACAGGCATATGAATGTTTCAAATAGATCTTCCTAAAATAAATACAGTACTCTCCCCTTACCCATGGTTTCACTTCTCACAGTTTCAGTTACCCATCGTCGACCACAGTCTGAAAGGGTAAATGAAAAATTACAGAAATAAATAATTCATAAGTTGTAAATGTGCACTGTTCTCAGCAGCATGATGAAATATTGTACAGTCCTGTTTAATCCTCCCTGGGATGTGAATCATCCTTTTGTCCAATGTATCCATGTTGTTGTATACATTACTTGCCTGTTAGTCACTTAGTTGTCTCAGTTTTCACAATGACAGACATGATTTCCATAGCACTTGAGTTCAAATAGCCTTTATTTTACTTAATAATGGCCTCAAAGAGCAATAACAATGAAATTAGCAATTTGGATATGACAAAAGGAAGTTGTAAAGTGCTTCCTTTAAGTGAAAAGGTGAAAAATTTCAACTTAAGGAAAGGTTTTTTTTTTTTTTTTTTAAATCAGGCTGAAGTAGTTAAGTTCTAACGTCAGTTATGTTGTTAATTTCTTACTGTGCCTAATTCGTAAGTTAAACTTTATCATAGGTATGTATATAAAGGAATGTACACAGTATATATAGAGTTATCTTTCAGGTATTCATTGGGGGTCTTGGAACATAATATTTCCCCAAGATAATCGAGTACTACTACACAGATTGTATATCTGAGAAGGGCAGAAATGGATTCAGAGAAACAATGAGAGACAATTGCAAGAATTCAGTGACAGAATATGAAAATGTGACCAAGGGCAGGGGTGCCAAGGGAGAAAGAAAACAGGGAGAGAATGGGGAAATGTTTAGAAAATAGAGATATGGGGATCTGGTGAGCAGATAGATGCTTTAGAGAAGTGAGAAGAAGAAACAAGAAGGACTCCTAGTTTTTATTCTGAGCAGATGTGTAAACAGTGGGTACAGTGAGACAAAGTATGAGAAAATAAACTTTCCTACAAAAGGCTCTAGCCTCCTGAGAACTTTCCCATACAATGTGAATTAGATCTGTAACCATTTGTCTAGTTAATTTCTATGATCCAAGAGGGCCAAGTGAATATACCCCAGAGCAGATTCCCTGGCTAAACTCCAAGGTGTCTGAAAGACTAGAGTGGCTATCTCTCTTGGTAATCACATTTCAAAAAATATGAAGCCTAGACCTTTGAGACATTTTTAGACTGAGAAATGTGAGACACATGGGGCAGCTAGCTGGTTCCTTGAGAAGCTGGAAGTAGACTCAGGCCCCATATGCTTCCAATGAGAATCTTTCAGGAAGAGAAGGACACCTGCATCCTTCTCCTTTATAAACAGAGAAAAATAAAATTTTCATGCAAGTAGAAATTTACTAGGCTCTTGTTTATGGTCTCTGCAGCCACTCAAACAGGAAATATTTTATCAACATTCATCATGTCACCACTGGGTCAAGTTTCTTTAGGCAGAGGAGAGGGGGAAAACAATATTTACTATAGAGTATTTAAAAGAAATTTGGCTCTGATACAAATATCTCATGTGTATTCAGGATAAAATTAATAAATACTAATATAAAAGCTTGACCCTAAGGGAGAATCCTGTATAGGAAACAGAGTAACAGGACATGATATGTTCAACTTGGAGAGGTAAGATTCATTCCACAAGGAAATGATAAAGTCACTGGAGAGAAGAAAAGGAAATTCAGGAGTCATTCTCTCATTCAGATAATATATACTGAGTGCCTATATATCAACATTTAATGAGTAGAGATAAAAATAGAATCTCAAAAGAACGAAAAATAATGGAAAGGTGGAGAGTGTGGGGTAAATGAGGAATACAGAACTATTGAAGAGAGTGACAGTTTGGAATAGTAAGAAGGAAACCAAGAGTGAGCAATCATGACACACAGAGGTCAAGCCAGATCTGCACTGAAAAGTGTTCATTGGACTTGGTAAGAGCGGTTTAATAGAGGGCAATAGTCTAAGAAGTAGAATTAGCCAAGGAAGGAGAGGAAGAAGTAGGTATTTCCAGTGAAAACTACCTTATTTTTTTCTGATAAGAAAAAGAGGACAATAGGACAAGAAGATAGAGGATAAGAAAAGGAAGAATGCTCTTTTTAGGATAAGAATTATTTGAACTTAGAATGAATGACAGAAGCTAGCAATAGGGTAACCTAGCACTGAAGTTTTCAGGATATGAACCTCCAACGTTAAAACCAGAACAGTTCCAGGAAAATTGAGCAGTTCTCAGAAAACCAAGATAGTTGGTAATTGCAAATAGAAAAAGATATATTGAAAAACTGGACAGGAGAAAGTAGAGGTAATTTGGGGGGGGGAAGGTCTGTAAAATAAGGAAATGCATCTTAAAGGTCTCATCAAACTTAAAATGCCCAAGATACTATTTGATACAATTCCATTGTTGAAACTAAAAATTAAATAATTTGAGGCGAAGGGCCATCCATTGTGAGAGACCACTTGTTTGTCCCTCGAGTTGTTGCCAAGGACTTAGTTCCACCACAGCTGCACAGTTCATTTCTTAAATATGACTCATTGAGGATTAAAATGAGTTTAACAAAAAGACAAAGGAATTTCTGTCATTACAAAGACATAAGCACCATTATTTTCATATCATTGCTTGAAATTAAGAAAAGAAAGTAGATGGAAGAGAAGGTTACATGATTATATTTTCAGAATTTAGTACAATTTAGA